TGCATGCACATGAGCACATACACATGTCATACCATACCATATCATATACATGTATACAAGAATAAATAAAATCAGAATCCTATGATCAGTTATTAGCAGAGAAAAGTTGAGAAGACAGCCCTGCCCTCAGGTGTGCAGAGCTATGTGGCAATATCCCCAGTGACCATCTACAAGAGCTTGGATACATTGTAGTATAATTACACAATGGACACCAGGGAAGCAATGAAAAAACTACTGATTAGATGTGATGGTTAATCTTCAGTGTCAGTTTGATTGGATCAATAAATGCCTAGGGCATTAGTGAGGCAACACCTTTGGGTGTGTCTGTGAGGATTTCCAGAGAAGATGAACTGTGAGAAGAATGACCCCCAGTGTGGCCAGTACCATCTTACAGACAGTGACCTGGACTGAACAAAAAGAGAAAAGGAGAAAACCAGCTGAGTGCTAACATTTCCCACTCCTTGCTACCTGTCACAGAGATGTGAACAAGCAGCTTCACCCAATTGCTTCCACAGCCACCAGCAACTTCTGCCACCATGCCTCACCCACCATGATGGACTGTACCCTCAAAATGTGAACAGAAAGAAACCCTTCCTCCCTTAAGTAGCTTCTTGTCAGGCATTTGATCAGAGCAATGAGAAAAATAATATGCACAATATCAGTGTGGACATGTGAATTTCACAGATATGCTGTTAAATGAGAAAAACCAGGTACACCAAGCAGATTCCCACTTATACCAAGGTCAAGGTCAGACAAGATGATGGTGATCAAAACAGTGATTGCCTACATATGAACATGTGCATGTTTGTGTAAATTCTGCTACCTCATTGGAGGCTTTAAAGGGTGACAGAACCACACAGCAAGACTTAACTGCCTTTCAGACCTATCTCAGAGGCCTTTTTTTTGCTTGCTTGTCAGGAGTATACATTATATACTGAGATAAAAGTAATATAGTGAACCATCCTGTTTTGTTATATTTTATTATTTATTTTATTTTATGTGTATGATTGTACTGCCTGCATGTATGTAAGTGCACCCATGTTGTAGAGTGCCCACAGAGGTCAGAAGAGGGTGTCAGATCCCCTGGAACTGGAGACACGGATGGTTGTTAGCCACCGTGTGTGCTGGGAAACATACCCTGGTCCTCTGTAAGAGAAGTGAGTGCTCTAAACCAGCCTATTTTGTTTTGATAAAGGGTCTTGCTATACAGCCCTGGACAGTCTATCACTGCCTATGAAGCCCAGGCTAATTTCAAACTCACCGCAATCCTTCTATTTCAGCCCCTGGCTGTTGAGATTATAGGCTTGTACCACCATACTTGGCTAAAATACATATTTTGTATTGTGTTAAGAATTGAATTCAGGGGCTGGAGAGATAGTTCGGGTTAAGAGCACTGCCTGCTCTTGCAGAAGACCATAGTTAGTCCCCAGAACCCACATGGTAACTAAAAAGCATCCATAACTCCAGTTCCAGGTGATCTGATACCCTCTTCTGACTCTGTGGACATTACATGACAGGTACACTTACATACAGGCAATAAACTCATACACATAAAATAAATAAAATATTTTTTAAAAAGAACTGAATTCAGCGTCTTGTGCAAGCAATATAGGTGCTCTGCTACTATGCCACATCCCTAGTGAACCAAACTTAAGTATACAGTCTAATGGACATTTGTATTAAAGTTTCTCGAAAGGAAACTCAAAGCTATGAGACCTTTACTTGCCTGAGTGGATTTTATAATCTAATAGAGAAGATAGATAGTTCAGCATGATGGAATCACATGTTTTCATCCATTTAGCTGTGGTTGGGTGTTTGATGAGCACCAACTCTGTGCTAGGCCCTGAACTAGGTGGGAAAAAAAATACAGCAGTAACTCAGTCCCTGCCCTCCAGATGCTGAGGCTAGTAGAATTTTAAACACCTTCTGAAAGTTGTCCAATTTCATTCCTGGCATCTCCTGATAGTATTCTAGTTCCCGCCCCTTGTTCTGTACTTCCTGATCTTTCAGTCATTTCCTGATGGATCTGTTTCCAGACTTCTGCCTGCCATTCTTCTCCAGACCAAAAGCCCCTACATGAATACTAGTCAAAAGAACCCACAGTTGGATTGGGGTTTGGTTTCATGGTAGAGCACTTACCTAGCATGTGCAAGGCCCTGGGTTCTACTCAGAGTTGCTTACTCCCCACTGTCCCAGCATCTGTGGGGCCAGTGACTTGAAGCCTTACTTACAAAGTGCATAATTATGGCCTTAGGCAAGGTCCTAGTGTGTCCTGAGCCCCACGGGTATCTTCTGTCATCTGAGCATAGGTAATAGTACCCACCAATGACAGCACACCTCCTTCTCAGGGAGACTGAACTTGCACCACCCACTCATCTCCCTGATGCCTCCATTGGGACTGTTCAAGTCTCTGCCAGTGACAGCCAGGCTTCTTGTCTGGAGGTCCTGAGCTGGTCCTCCTGGTATCATGGTCCAGAATGCCTTCCTGCCTTCATATCCAGGTTGGGTCTTACTCAGCTATGGACTAGCCTAGACACTGCCTTCTCCAGGATTTCTAGGCTGCCTATGGGCCAGTGTCAATGGAAAGTATCATGTTTCCATGAGTCTCTGCCTGCTTCAGTGTGAGCACTTGCCACACAGGTAGCCTCAGGATCCCCAATCACTCTTCTTCATACCTGAAGCTGTGGTCCCCAGTCTGCGGCACACCTGAACAGAGTATTCCCAGCATTTTTTTTTTTTTTTCAGTAAAGTAGCCTTGATTGGTTCCAAGGGTTTTAAAGTCTTTACTTTTAAAATTTTTTAATTAAATTTTAAATTTAGCACCTCTCTCTCTCTCTCTCTCTCTCTCTCTCTCTCTCTCTCTCTTGCCTTGTGGGTGCACACTATGGCACTTGAATGGAGGTCAGAGGACAACTTGCAAGATTTAGTTCTTTTCTTCTACCATGTGGGCATGTGGTTCAGAGATTGATCTCAAGACATTAGCCTTGGTAGCAAGTACCTTTACATGCTGTGCCATCTTGTCAGCCTAATCTTTCTTTTAAAACATGTTGCACCTGCACATAATACAGAAACCCAAAAGGAACAAGAGCTTACAATGAAAATTAAAAGTAGGTCACCTTCCAACCACCCAGTTCATCTCCCCCAGAGGCTACCATTGGTACTATATTTCTAGTATTCTGTGTGGGCAAGAACTCAGACTCCTTACCCATTCCCCTTCATTTTGCAAAAATTTAAACCAGTAAGAAAGTTGCAACATCCTTTGTCTAAATTCCCTGATTAATGTCTGGCCATATTATGTGAAATACTTAACATCGCTTAATGCTTGCAACACCATACATTCATGTCAGTTTTGTGCATGTGGTCAAAGAGGCACTATTCAGAGTAAAGGACTTGCCCACAGCCTGATCAGAGCTGGGCTTTCCCTGCAGGCTGCAGGAGGACTTTGATCTACCTTCCTCCAATCCTGGTTCCTGATGCAGGGAAACATCTCTTCCTCAGAGTGGAAGTACACTTCCCTGGGGTAGTCACCAGATGATCAGTGGAAAAGTACCCAGCCCTGGAGGCATTTCTCTCAAGCCTCTGATACCATGAGCAGCAGCTGCTCTCACTGCTGTACCACCTGGTCCAAAGTCACCACCACTGTGAAGGATGACTTAGCTCAGCCCCTTAAAAATTCAGGATGACTCCCAAACTGCCAGGCCTGGGTGATTGGATGTCATCAAATCACTTTAACCATTCCTCCTTCTCCTCCTTAAAAATGTCTCATTATGTGGCCCAGGCTGTCCTCAATCTCTCCATCCTCCTTCCTCTGCTTCCAGAGTACTGGGATCACATACCTTGTTCTATCTTGCTCCTCTTCCCCAATGCTACCTCCAGTCATGGGCAACATTTCCCTCTCTCTGCTTAGTCCATCCCACTGCTGCTGGAAGCACTCCATTCTAAGGGTCAGGGTCTGCCTCCCTGATGCCTCCCCCTGCATCCATCCTGGACTCCAGGTGGCCTTTTGCTTGGGAGTCTGGACAACAGTGGCCTGGAGTGAGTATGGCTCCTTCCTGGCAGATTGACCTTGCACAGGCTACTCCCAGTGTCTAAGCGTTAATTTCCTTAAGTACATAATGAAGGTAAGAATGTCTATTTCAGGACCTAGCAGAGTTGGGTTCACTCATCTCCAGTAATAGAACTGACAGCGCCTTAAGGCTGCTGACATTTTCTCCTACTACTCCACGCGCTTGTTTTCACATGTAAAATGGGAATGATGGTGGGAAGGTTGTGAAACTTCAATATGCTAAAGCATGTACCTAGGCCTAATAGTGTTATTTGGGACGACAGTGGGCCTGACACACAGTAGGGGTCCAGGTTGGGTACGGCGGGGAGGCCATGCGGAGGCGAGCGGCAGACAGAGAGCGGGCGGAGGTCCGCGGCGCCCTTCCCCCAGCAGGACCCCCGCCCCTCCCCGTCGCAGCTGTCAGGCCACCGGCCCCTGCGTCAGTCCACCAAACCTGAACGTCCCATCCCGGCGCCCCCACCTTCCCCGCCCGCACAACTTACCTTGCGCGGGCTGCTCTCGGCCCCGCCCCCTCCAGCCATTGGCCGACGGGTTTCTTTGTTAGCTGGAGCGTTCTGGCTCAATTGGCCTGCCGGGCTGCCGGTCACAGAGAGGCCACGCCCCACCCC